ATACTATACTCTAAACACCTCTGAGGGCAGGCATCATGACAGCTTTTCATTCTTTAAGCACCTAGCACAATATCTGCCATATTTTAAGTGCTAATCATTCTTTCCTAAAAGAAAAAACAAGAGAGTCAGACACTGAAGCATGGTTTTAAGTAAGTAAAGCATGCCTTAGTTTTTTCATTAGTGAAACAGTAATAAGAATGCAATGTTTTACATAGAAGTGTTACCAAAATGTCATTTCTGGATCCTTATATACAATCTGCAGTTACTAGGATATAATTTCTTTTCTGGATATAAATAGAGACAGAGACAGAGACAGAGAGACAAAGAGAGAGACACTGACTGTTGGTGTTTGTTTTTTGGATTTTTTGTTTTTTTAAGCAGGCAGGCAGTTCTGGGGATTGAACCAAGGTTCTCTCACGTGCAAGGCAAGCACTCTACCACTAAGCTATAAGACCAGCCCTTGATATTTCATTAATCAATGATATACACACATATACTTCCAATTACAGTAGATGACTAGCATAAGATGGCCAATGTTACCTCTCTAAAGGATATAACTCCATCTATAAATAGCAACACTATACATTTAATCTGTATAACCTTATCACAAGTAAAAATGATTTTAATTCTTTTTTTTTTTTTCATCTGAAAATACTCCTAAGAGTCTAAACAGAATTGGAAGCTACTGAAGACTAAAATCAAGAATTATATATTTTGGACTGGGGCTGAAGTTCAGTGGTAGAGCACTTAGCTCACATGTTTGAGGCACTGCATCCTCAGCATCATATAAAAATAAATACATAAAAAGATATTGTGTCCATTTTCAACTAAAATTATAAAAAAAGAATTATATATTTAGCTAATGTGCATACAAGTCTCCTAGCTTAGGCTTATAAGAGTCATATACTAATAAAACTAACATTATTGGAGAATTAGTGATCTATCAGTTTAATAAAAACTGCTAGCAATAATACAATACAAAATTGATATTATTAGGGAATCACTAATTTGACATCTTAATAAAGACAGCTAAAATATAATACACATAAAATATTAAAATACAGTAAAATAGAAATGGAACACAGAAATAGAAAACTGTCAAGTGACTCCAGAAATTATAAATTCAAACTCTAGTATAGTATCATTTCTTTTTCTTTACAGTTTTTCATACACCTTAAAAATACCTAGGCCTTTATAAATCAGACATCTTTAATGTCTTGCTGTTAGTGACTTCCAGAGTCCTTTATAACAGTCTTAGAGATGAACAGTTCAGTCTATATTTTTTGGATATCTACTATGTACCAGAAACTATATTTAAAAATAAAACTCCTAACTCCCAGGTTTATAGTCTGTGTGGAAGAAATACAATTAAATACACAGACACATAAAAAATATGTAAGACTTTAAGAGTGGTTATTTCTAGAACAGGAATTATTAAGTACTTCTTTTTTAACTCACATGTCCTAAAATGCTTAAATTTTATATAATAGATGTATATATTCCACTTATTGATCAAATGAGTCAAACTATTAAAAAATGGCTAGTAGAGACGTAAGGTACTACAAGGATATTCACTTTCACAACTTTATTTCTGTAATATAAGTACTGCTATCTGGGGAAAAAAATGACAAGAATACAAACAGTAATGACTACTAAAGAACATTTTCACACTATTGGTCAGACTGTACATTAGTACAACCACTATGGAAATCAGTATGTAGGTTCCTCAAAAGACTAGGCATGGAAGGAAGCACCATATGACCCAGCTATATCACAATATTTATCCTAAAAAATTAAAGTCATCATATTATAGTAATACATGCATACTCTTGTTTATAACAGCACAATTCAGATTAGTCAAAAAAGCAGCATAGGAGTCCATCAATGGATGAGTACATAAAGAAAATGTGGTGTATATATACACATTTTTATATGGAGTTTTATTCAGCCATAAGGAAAAATGAATTTTGTCATTTGCAAAAAAATAGATGGAACTTGAGACCATTATGTTAAGCAAAAAAAGTTCAATTTGGAAGGTCAAGGGTCATATATTTTCTCTCATATGTGGAAGTTAGAGAGGAAAAAGTAAAAGAAAGGTGGGGAAGCTGACCTCATGAAAATCAAAAGGAAATCAGTATAGTAAAAGAACCAGGAAAAGGGAGAAGGAAAGGAAAAGGGGAAATACTGGAGAAGGACATTAGCCAAATTATATTTTTATATTGTGTGCATGTACAAATATGTAACAACAAATCCATTAATGTACAACTATAATGCACCAATAAAAATATAGAAAAATAAATAAAACCCTAAAAAAATGGTACTTTCCTAAACCATAATAATAAAACCATATTTTCTTTAAAATAAGAGAAAATTCTAATTTCTCTAAAAATACTCAATTTAGAAAGTCAAAGAAAAATGCAAAGAAGCAATAAGAGAAAAAGGAAAACATATTACCAAGTAGAAAAGCAAAGACTTGACCTATAAGTTAGCAATAAGAACAAGCATTTTTGTTTTTCCACCTTTCTAAAAGTTAATCATGGCTGGGTGTAGTGGCACATGCCTGTAATCCCAGTGGCTTGGGAGGTTGTGGCAGCAGGATCGTAAGTTCAAAGCCAGCCTCAGCAATGATGAGGCACTAAGCAACTAAGTGAAACCCTGTCTCTAAATAAAATTTATAAAAAAGGGCTGGGGATTTGGCTCAGTGGCCAAGTGCTCCTGAGTTCAATCCCCCATACCAAAAAAAAAGGTTAATCTTAATTATACTAAGCAATTTTGGGGATCTCTTAAATATAAGCGTAATTTTAAAACAAATGCAATCATATTTAGCTTGAACTTTAAACAATAATCAAATTAATCAAACTAATTTATGAAAATAATCATTCCCTTTTTCAGCTTTTCTAAATGATAAGCCAGATGATATTCAGGCATTCAGCAAAGTGAATTAAACTCAACTTCTGATCATTGTATAAATTAGAACAATAATTATTAAAGTGTAGTCCATGGATCTCTAGGAATACCTAAGACCTTTCTTTCTTAATGGGTTTGTAAGTTCAAAGAAAATGAATTGTTTCCATAACAATCCTAAGAGAGTTTTTATCTTTTTTCCTGTTTTTCCATCTTCACAGATGGCACAAAAGCAATGGTGTAAAAGTGCTGGTATTTTAGCACAAATCTAAATGTTGTATTAAATGTTTCATTGACACATATAGTTCAAAAAAAATCAAATGAAACAAAGATCCAGTTTTATCAAAAAATATCTTTGATACAAAAGCAGTGAAAGTTATTTGTATTAAATTTTGACCTTGGGGGCTGGGGATGTGGCTCAAGTGGTAGCGCGCTCGCCTGGCATGCGTGCGGCCCGGGTTCGATCCTCAGAACCACATACAAACAAAGATATGTCTGCCGAAAACTAAAAAATAAATATTAAAAAAAAAAAAATTCTCTCTCTATCACTCTCTCTCTCTCACTCTCTCTTTAAAAAAAAAAAAAATGTTGACCTTGGAGTACAATTTTTTAATATTCTGTGTAATGAAATAGGAAATAAAAAAAAAAAGAACTGCTATGTATCAAGATATGCTTGTTATTTCAAGAAAAGGCACTTGTATGATAGTTTGTTATCAGTTAAGTTGGCACCTTTTTTTGGAACACCATTTTTATTTGACATAATACTTTTGTGTGTGTGTGGTGCTGGGGATTGAACCCAGGGCCTTGTGTATGCAAGGCAAGCACTCTACCAACTGAGCTGTATCCCAGGCAAGCACTCTACCAACTGAGCTATATCCCCAGCCCTAATATTTTATTTTACTTATTTATTTTTATGTGGTGCTGAAAATTGAACCCAGTGCGCACTGTTACACATGCCAGGCAAGCACTCTACCACTGAGCTACAACCCCAGCGCAATACCATTTTTGTTTGATAGAACAAATGGAAGACAAATATGGTTTTCAGATAAGGCATTTGGCAAATATTTTCTTAAAACTTAGTGAAAATGAACCAATGATTTTTGAAAAAAACTCCTGATACTTGTTACTGACAAAATTTGCACTTTCAAGTAAAAATTAGAATTTTGTAAAATTTGGGACCAACATTGTGAGCTCAAAAATTTCCTGATACTTAATGATTTTTCCAAGGATACAGACAGAGACATTAACAATGTGATTCACTGCTATTGTCAAATCACATCAAAAGTCAACACTTAGAAAAGGTATAAAAATCAGGAAATTTTCCACAAGACCAACCCATGATGTTTCAAAATCATTCAAGATCAAAAAATCCACTTGAGGGCTGGGGATGTGGCTCAAGCGGTAGCACACTCGCCTGGCATGCGTGTGGCCTGGGTTCAATCCTCAGCACCATATACAAAGATGTTGTGTCCACCGAAAACTAAAAAATAAATATTAAAAAATTCTCTCTCTCTCTCTCTCTCTTTAAAAAAAAAAACAAAAAAAAATCCACTTGAAGGACAAAATAATCCAAAGCATATTAGCATAACAAAGGAAAAATTTCACACAAAAACTTATTTTTAAGGGTTCTATTAAGCCAGACATTAAAGAGATTTGGAAATATTTTCAACAATCTTCTCATCAACTTTTCTGTTTTGTTAAATACAGTTATTTTTCATTAGAAATACATTATTTTGGGTGGGGAATATAGCTTAGTGATAGACTGTTAACCTAGCATATGCAAGGCCCAGGATTCAATCCCTAGCACCACAAAAAAAAAAAAAAAAAAAAAAAATTATTTATATGAGCATGTAATGACTTTATCACAGTTATTTTAAAATGAATTGACAAATATTTTAAGTGTTTCAGTTTTAATGTCTAATATGGGTAAATAACGACAGACAATCCCATTTAAAAAAAAACTCTTTGGGGCAATAATTTTTAGGTATGCAAAGGAGCCCTGAGACAAAAAGTTTGAGGATTGCTACACAAGAAGCACACAGACAGACCAGACTCCCTTGGTTCTTGAGACCTTTCAGAGTATCAAAGAACCATACCTGCTTTGCAAAAAATATTGTGTCAAGTCTGGAATCCTGAACAACAGAGCCTGCTGGTTCTTCTCCTGGCTGCCACTTGAAAAGAAAAATTAAGCCATGAACTGGCCTACAAAATAAAAAAATAAATTAGTGACACCAAACTCTGACTCTTTTATAACACTGTTAATATGTTAAATTATAATCAGCTATTTAACAAATACAAAGCTAATTAAGTAAACTATTAAGTAAATATGAGAAATTTTTAAGATTGCTACTGCCATTCATAGCTTTGAATGTTGCCTCAGAGCCTAATAAAACTAAAACTTACATAGGATAACACAGAATTATAATAAAAGGTTTATTCTCAAATCTATGGACTATTCACTGATACTTTATATCAATTCATTTAAAAATAGAAAATTAAGAACATAGCAAAACTAAAAGCTATTAAACTTGACTGAATTCTAACATATATGAATAAAGTTGCTACAGAATGTTTACAGATAAACAACTGATAGCACATATATTAAGAAGTCACCTACATTATTAGATTCACGATAAACCTACTACAGTATGAATGGCTGCCATCATCTCAATACATAATGAAGTCATTCACATTCCTAACAGAATCACTGATGAGCACAAAACATTAAATCACCACTTTAGGATTTTCTCCACTTTTTCACAGTGGCATTCTCCTCATCAAAAATCTTTCCCCATTTTAAAGAGAATTAAAATGATGCATCTTTAGTTAATCTTCCCTGATCTCAGTCACAACTGATCTCTTATTTCATCTAAAATGGTTGCTATTTTTGTGGATAAGAGTAAGGTAGGTAGGAGAAGAAAACCATCTTCTTCTTACTATTAAAAACAGTAGCCACATCCCTAAGTCCCCACTTTCCTTTTTAAAAGTCTCTTCCTTGTCCCCATTTCAAGAGTTTAAGAACCCTCTTAATAAAGAAAACTCCTGGGCTGGGGTTGTGGCTCAGTGGTAGAATGCTTGCCTAGCATGTGTGAGGCACTGAGTTCGATCCTTAGCACCACATATAAATAAAATGAATAAAAATAAAGGTCCATCAATGTCTAAAAGAAATTTGAGAAAAAAGAAAACTCCTGTGGTCTTCCATTTGCAGATACAGGGTCAATGATTGAGGGTACCAAGGTAAAGGGTAAGGACAGGCTCCAAGAGGAACTCTAATCACAGAGATTGGGTAAGGGGAAAATTCTTTCTGACATCTATACTGAAACCTTGAACTTTTAAGTTTCCCAAGAAGCAAGATGACAATGTATAGGCAAATTCTGAATTACAACTAATGTTATCTATTAAATATGCTTTTGTATAATGACCTATTAGTCATGCTTTTATGATAAAATATTCCATATTCTAACACTACAATCTACAAGTGAATTTTGTGAAAAACCTACCAATCAGTACTTCATGGATACAGAATTATAATCTTGGGACCGAATCCCTTATAAGTGACTCTGTATGAGCCTCGGGTTCTATAAAACTAGAATAATACCTATCTCCCAGGATTGAAAAGACTTAAAGGAGATAATGTACTCAGCCTAGGGTAATTCAAATAAAATAAATGGATAAATCTTAGTAACCTCAAAAGATTTAAGTATAGATATATTACTTTTTTTTCTTTTTGTTTTTGTACTGGGGATTGAACCCAGCAGTACTTTACCAGTGAAGGACATGCCCAGCTCGTTTTATTTTTTTTTTTTTTTTTTTTTTTTTTTTTTTAACTTTTTGGTTTTTTTGGTGGTGCTAGGGATCAAACCCAGGGCCTTGTGCATGCGAGGCAAGCACTCTATCAACTGTACTATATTCCCAGCCCAAGCCCCTTTCATTGTGAGACAGGGTCTTGCTATTTTGTTTTGTTTGTTAAGAGAATAGGGACTAAATCCAGGAGCACTCTACCATGGACAGACACACCCAGCTCTTTTAATTTTGAGACAGGGTCTCACTAAGTTGTCCAGGTGGGCCTCAAATTTGCAATCCTACTGCCTCAGCTTCCCAAGCTGTTGGGATTACAGGCACGTGTTACCATGCCTGGCTCGTTTAACACAACTAAAACTTTACTTACTTTAATTTTTCAAAATTTTCAGGCTCTAAACTCCATATTTCTTCTACTTGGGCTCCTCGGCAACCTGAAATAAGAAATTATTTTGTTTAGAAAACAAAATAACTCATTTCTCCTTCATCACTAAATATTAACTAAAAGAAAGGTATACTTGGGTTCAATAGGACATGGACAAATTAAAATGGTAAAACGTGATGTATTAATTAAAATGATAAAATAAAAATATTATATATTTTTAAAAGTTTCAAGAGTTTAATTTTCATTACATCAGCACCCTACAACTGTTCCTTCTATCTCTCAATCTTTGGCTCTTCTTCATCTGTTAAGTCCCCCCTTCTCTGTCTTTAGCCCTTCCTCCCTACCAAACTGTACACTTTTTCCTTCTGGCAAAGTAAATAGCTACCACTTAAATGACTTTCAAACCACACCTATAGTTCTGATCTTTTTCCTAAACTCCAATTATATACTTTCAACTACTTCAAAGTCACTCCCACCCCTGTTCAAACATACATTTTTTCTAGGACAATGATTTTCAACCAGGGTGATTTTGACCCCCAGAGAACATCTAGCAATGCCTAGAGTTTTTTTTTTTGTTTGTTTTGTTTTGTTTTTTTTGTCACTATTGTCATGGGGCAGAGAATGGGGGGAGATCACTACTGGCATCTAGTGGGTAGAGATGAGAAATGCCTATAAACATATTACATTGTACAGGAAAGCTCTGACAAACATTATCTGGCTGCATATCCCAGCTACTGGGGAAGCTGAGGCAGGCTGAGGGAGGAAGATGGCTTAAGCCCAGCTTGGTCAATATAGCAAGACCCGGTCTCATTAAAAAAAAAAAAAAAATAATAATAATAATAATAATAATAATAAAAGAATTATCTAGCCCAATATGTAAATAGTGCCAATCAAAGTTGAGAAATACTACTGTAGCAGCAAGTATCATAGTAATCATATATGAACACTTGGGTCTTCAAATTGCTAGACTGAATTATTTCTGCTTCGTTTACTAGGTATGTGACTATTTAACCTCTCCATTTCCCATACTCACAGATTTGCTGTGAGGAATAAATGACAGAAAGCATGAGATATATTTAACATAGTGCCTAGTATAGTCTAATATTAGCTAGCATAATTACCACAATACAGAAAAACAACTCTATTTACCAGTATCTCCTATGTGTAAAGTGTGTTAATACGTTTTCTCTAATCTTTGAAAGGCCAGACTCCCCTCTCTCCCTTGGAAAGAAACCTCTTTGAATACTTGTATACTTCTGGGGCAAGTTAGTGACCTGAGTTTATTCTGTGGAAAGGCAAGAATTTAATGAATGATGCTTTGTGGATGTAAAGTGGTTTGCTTAAATTCACTATGGCTAGTATATACCAGGAAACTAATCAAAACCCTTATAAAAATCTGGGCACTTTGTACTATTTCAGATTATTTTCAACTGAGAGCTGAAGAAGCCTTTAAACCACCTATAAAAAAAAATGGCTAAAAAAATTGTTAGGCCAACCAACAATGTGACTTTGGGTATCCCTAATTCTGTGCTTCAGTTAACTCTGTTCGACAAATATTTATTAAGTATTCACTCTAGTATTAAATAAGTATGTACTAGAAAAGTTACTACGTAGATTACAGTGGAAAAGAACTGGAAGAAATCTAGATGTGTACCAACAGATTGAGAGTGATAGATATTCACATATAATCAAATGGGAGGGGGGAATCTCATAAACTTGAATTTCTGTACAAGTATCAATGAGGGAAGAGGACACTATGCAATTATTAACACTGGTTACTGCAATCAGAAATCGATTGTAAAAAGAAAGACCAAACATTAAAACACTGTATATTATTATCATACCACAATAAAAAAGAAAAAAAAACACTGAATCAAAGTACTCCAAAATATTCTACACAAGTGGAATTTCAAATTGTGACAATGCTTAAATAATCTTATGTCAAACACAAATAAGTGTAAGGAAAACACAGTATTCAAATGTTAGCATCTACCTCCTTACACATATATTTAATATCTAATACAACATGGAAATAGAATAAGCAATGATTTCAGAGATCTGAGTCCTAATCCCAGCACTGCCCTAAAATTCTTAACCTTGAGCAAAAGCATAATTTTTTTCCTCAATACACATATAAAACAAGGATATTACCTGCTTCATCTAATATACAAAATTCTTGTGAGGTATTAAGGTTATAAAACACTAAACACAGCAACTTAATGCAAACCCCCTAATATATTAAATAAAAAGTTAGAGAGGAGAGGAAGTTTTTTGTTTTTTTTTTTTTGGTTTTTTTAAGTTAGTGAAATATTGGCATTTACCAAACATCTTTGGTGTGCCAAGCACAATACTAGGCCATGGCAAGGACAGAAGTTAATAAATTACTGTCAACAATACTTAAAAACCTCACAAATCTAGTAAACAAGGACAATACAGCATGCATATATTAGATATGAAAGGTACACAGGGCATGGTCTAGAAGTTCAGAGGTAGGAATGAGCATTACTATAAGCACTGATTTTAAAAAAACTTTCATTATATAAACTGGGTCTTAAATAGGATGATTTATGTTTTGTCAGTATTCCGAAGTGAAAGGGGTTACTGAATTAAAATGGTACAAGTTTTGAAATATTTATATACTGAATAACACATCTGTATGATAATACTGGTGGTCTAATAAACAGTTCTATTCTAAAACTAGTTTCAAAAATAGTTTCCTTGGACTGGGGTTGTAGCTCAGTGGTAGAGCACTTGCCTAGCATGAGTGAGGCACTGGGTCAATTCTCAACAACATATATAAATAAAATAAGTGTCCATCGACAACTAAAAAAATATTTTTTAAAAAAGTTTTCTTAAAAATAAATCTGGAGAGCTGGGGTTGTGGCTCAGTAGTAAAGCACTCGCCTAGCTCATGAGAGGCACTGGGTTCAATCCTCAGCACTACATGAAAAAATAAACAAATACAATTTTAAAAATTAAAAATGAGTCTGGAAGCTTCTTCACAAAGAAAATATGGGGAGGGGGGGGCCAGGAAGCTCTCCCAAACTGTCACCAGAGCCTTAAATTTAATCAACTGCTAGGTATGCTATCTTCCAACAGTTTTGATAATTTTTGATCCCCCTAACCTTACCAAGACTACCGAAAGTAGTAAGGATGGTCACAGCCTCTACATCCCCAACAAAGAATATCCCCAGATGTTTTCCACAACCCATTTCTCAGTTGTCCCATGGTGCAGATAAATGCCATTTGGCTGGTGATTTGACCAAATAGGAAAAACTGATTAACAGTCTCAAGCAACCTCTATAAAAACAAGGCTAGAAAATAATTTGAACTGAATTAGGTATTTCCCTAAATTGGAGATACCCTACTGAACTGGTCCCATTTTTTTTTGGAGGGGGGGGCAACAATTATAATCAACACTTGTGAACCTCCAAGACGCTATACTTTTTACTTCTTGTGTGAAATCCAGATCTTAATTTGCTTCTATCCTCAAAACAAAATGAGACACTCAACTGAACTGATACCATTTGGGGGAGCCCACCAATTATAATCAACACTTGTGAACCTCCAAGACTATATACTTTTTATTTCTTGTGTGAAATCCAGATCTTAATTTGCCTCTATTCAAAACAAAATGAAACACACCTTAGGAAATACGCGGGGTGTGGTGGCACATGCCCGCAATCCCAGAATTTAGGAGGCTGAGGCAGGAGGATCATGGGCAGCCTTACAACTTAGTGAGACCATGTCTCAATTAAATAAATATGGGGCTGGGGTTGTGGCTCAGCAGCAGAGCATTCACCTACTATGTTGCAAGGCCCTGGCTTCAATCCTCAGCACACATAAAAATAATAAGTAAATAAAATAAAGGTACTATGTCCAGCTACAACTAAAAAATATATTTTTAAAAAATAAAATTAAATAAATAAAAGGACTGGGGGATATAGCTCAGTGCTAAAGTGTCCCTGGTTCAATCCCCTGTACCCAAAAAAGAAGTGATTATGATAAGCTTTCCTCTTAATAAAATACCATCTTAGACTCAAAGGTCATTTGGATCTGCATTAATGAATAGATCAGCTGTTATTAATGATGAAATTACTCCAGAATTGCTCTGTCATGCCAAACTGGGGTGAAAAAAAAAATCACTAATACACCCTGCTATACCTGGGTTAATATTCTGAACCAAACGGAAAGGCCAACACAAAATTTGTCTCTTGTACATACTACAAGATATTAACAGATTTGGTATTGACCATGCTGGTCAGGTTACACTAATCTAAGTGTCTGAAGGAATGCTGATTTGGGGTAGAAAGGAATTATAAATTTTGGTGGGAAACAATTCTCAATGGGTTTCTCCTGTTTTGTTTGAAATCTTTACATTTATGTTGACTATGGATACAGGTTTACAGTTTCCTTTTCCTATAGTCTGGTTTGGGCAAGGTAATATCTGCCCTCATAGAATGATTTTGGTATTATTTTTCCATTTTTGGGGGGTATGGGGTGTGGGGTACTGGGGATTGAACTTGGAGCAATTGACCACTGAGTCACATCCCCAGCCCTATTTTGCATTTTATATTTTATTTAGAGACAGGGTCTGAGTTGCTTAGAGCCTTGCTTTCTGAACTCACGATCCTCCTGTCTCAGCCTCCCAAACCACTGGGATTACAGGTCACCAAGCCTGGCTACATTTATTTTTTTTTAATTTGCAATTCTTTATACTTATGTCTTAGTTAAAATAAAATCTTTGTTTTACTATGATACTACATTTCACTAAAATTTATATTTATATATTCACTGCTTCCACAAATAATTTCCTCTCTAATGATGAACTTTCAAAATGAATTTGCAACAGCATTCACAATATAATCATATGTTTCACTTTCAAAACAGTTAAATTCCAAAAGCTTAGAGGGGTTTTTTGGTACTGGGAATTGAATCCAGGGGTGCTTTACCACTGAGCTACATTCCCAATTCTTTTAAATTTTTATTTTGAGACAGGGCCTCACTAAGTTGCTAAGTGCCTTGCTAAGTTGCTAAGGCTGGCTTTGAACTTGAGATTATCCCTCCTCAGCCTCCCAAGTCACTAGGTTTACAGGAATGCGCCACTATGCTCCACCAAAGTTTTTTTAATTGATGAATTGAATGGGAAAAAAATGAAAATGATTGGAAAAATTGGATTTTTTTCTTTGAAGTATCTAATTTTTTTGTAAAGTTCTTTTGCTAATGGAGCCAGTCCATCAACAGTTATTTTTTCATGTGTGCTTATAAAAGTGGATTTATATATCACTCTCTGATGCATGACTTTATTTAAATCATTTTCAAATTCCAAGCTTTTTGCACATATGAAATTGAAACAATAGCTGATGATGGACTGAATTGATTTTAAAATAAAATTACCTAGCACCATATTTCTGAAAGTCAACTTTAACATGTCACAACAGTTAAGCTTTTGAAGGTAAACTTTATGGCTACACTTGCACACATCAGTGTTATGTCCAAAACTGATCTCGTTTTCTTGTCCTTCATGTCTGCTTTTTTGTAATCGTCTCCACCAGCGCCCAAAGCTGATTTTTTCTTTTCATGTAGGAGAAATATACTACCACTCAACCTGTACTTTAAGGTTGGCAGCCCTGAGAATTCCTTTTTTTAATGTAGCATGTAATGGATGTACTCCTGCTCCACAAAGAGGAGAAGGCATTTCCACATGCAACTAGTGATTTAAACACAGCAAAATTATTGAATCTATGTTCTCCTATCTCACTACTTTTTCATCTGAAGTCAATGGTCAAGCCAATCACCTCAAATTGACCTTCTCTCACTTCATTCTAATTTGCTCTGCACTCCACAAGCATAGTAAACCTTAATTATAAAAATAATTTCATTTGAATATATTTGAACTTCATTCAAGGATCTTTGACAGTAAGTCCCCAGTGACTATAGGGCAACCAGACTGTACCATATGGCACACAAGCCTCAGTTTACCTGATCAGCTTCAGATTCAAATACTTTCCCTGACCATTACATCATATTTTAGTCACTTTGCTAGCTGTTCCCTAATCTATATACAAATAACACCATCAGTTTATGCTTCTCTTCTGTCCATGCTCTTCATGACCTGTGTTCTTAATTTGTGAATATTCCTGGCATAGCAATTAAGACACCATAATTCTTACCAGTGTGCCTGAGATATAATAGTTGAACATGTTCTAGAAAAATGATATTCCAAATATTCAGCTATGTACTACATTGACATTTAATTTCTGTCCTGAATACAAGTTTTAACATAATGGTTCTAAATAATACTTGAGGAAATGTAACAAATATGAACTTATTTTCCCAAAAAAGAGGGTGGGAACAATTGAGAGGGAAGGATAAAAAGTATGGAAGTATGTGCTGAGTAGTATGGAAGAAAATGAATGAAGCTAGAAAGAAATTATGAAGAAAGCATGTGGCCTCTAATGTAGAGTACTACATCAAGAAAGCTCACTTCACCGGAAGCCAAAAATGCCCAGGGAGCAAAAGAACCAGAGAAGTAGTCTGTCAGGCCCACCCAGTCGGCGTGTGTGGAAGAGCTAAGGTGTTCTGCTTTGAGTAACTAGAATCTAGAGTTCCTGAGCGGCTTGGGCCTCGGACACCACCCTGAAGACACACCCTGCACTGGCTTCTTCGATAGGGCTGATGGCCTAAGTGATGCACCTGACCACACTGCCCTGGGACAGGGAGGCTCTGCAGAGAAAACAGTGGAAAGGGAAGGACAGGTGCATAAAGAATTGGGGCGGGAAGGCCCTACCGATTCCTGAGCATACAGCAGTGCACAACATAGGCACGATCCTTGCCCTCGTGGTGTGGCTCTCAAGATGACTGTGGAAACGCGACTGCCCCTGACGGACGAGGCAGCATAAGCCCTAGATTCCCCCTCCCAGACTCCAGGTTCCTGAAGTCATTTCTGTTCAGAAGCGGGGCGGCGGTGGCCGCAGGTGTCCACTCCATGCCCAGCTTGGGCCTCCTCCCGTGACCCCCCCGGCCCAGGACGGTCCCATTGGTTCTCACCGAATCCTTTAATGAGCTCGGTGAAGACCCCGGGGTCGCTTTCCATGAGGCACCACTCCCCGGCATTGCCCGTCATGGCCCTGGCCACACACCGCCCCGCTCCACCTCGCGTTCTCGGCAGCCCCCCGCACCAGCTGCCGCCGGCCACAGATCTCAGCAAACCCGCCGCCGAGCTCGTCAACCACACGTCACCCCGCCTACTTCCCGACAGCCTCCGGGCGCCGTCACCTGCAGCGCGACCCAGCGCAAGAAGACGCTCTAGCCACCCAGGAGACATCGAAACTCTGGGCCTCGCGGGAACCAGCTGTGCGTTCGAAAGGGGCGGGAACCTGAGGAGAAAGGGCGGAGATACAGAGCGCCGGAGGAGGTAACATCCGGGATCCTCGCCGTCTGAAGGGAGGGCGGTGCAGGAGAAGAGGGGCGGGGCTCGCTCCGGAGAAGCGAACGTAGAAGTCCCAGCGGTGTTTGTCCGGCTGTGGCTGCCAGTCCTTGTGCTGCTTTTGGTTTTTTCTCAGTGCTACGCAGGGCTTCTTCTGGCGGCCCTGTGGGTCCCGAGGGTCGGCCGCCAGGCACAGGTAAGGAAATTGCGGGCGGGGGCTGGCAGCTGAAGGCCCTTTGTGCGGTCTGAGCGACTCTGGGACGCGCAGGGTCTGACCGGTCCTCCATCCTAGCTGCAGAGGCCGGGGCAGACGCTTCGCCAACCATCGTTCTCTCCCTCCCTGCTTCCGCGCCCTACACACTCTGGGTAGCGAACCAGCGTCGCTCTGGAGCGTTCTCTTTGGGCTCGGCCTGGACGCTCCGAAGGGCGGGTCTTTTCCGAATCCGGGATTGCTCGAGTCTCTACACGCTTAGCTCCCCAGGCCGGCGTCTAGACGTCCGGCTTCACTCCTCCTCTTTCTCCTCCTCCCGCGGCTTCTGCGCGCAGAGGCGTTGTCTTGGATTCTGGATTTTGGAAGAAGGCGCTTTGTGGGAAGACAGAAGGCGAATTTATCTTAGAGAAAATGAAACACTGAATTTTTTTTGGGGGGGGTGTCCCCCTATGAATTAAGACCAAACTTTCTCATGCTCAGAAAGGAAACTGAAGGACTGAAACCCCAACCCTTTTTTGCCGGCGCCAAAGAAGCTGAGAGCAAAAATTGCCCCCTCCTCATGGTATAACACATGCTAACTAAATTTGCATATGTACGTTTCCTGCCTTTTGTCTTATTTCGCACTCTCTTCTTCCCTGCCTCCCTCCAAAAGTTCTACTCACCTTCAGGGACTGGGAAAAATAGAACTTTTAAAACAAATTTTCTTGTGCTTCTTTCAAAGCTGGCTTTAAATAAAACCTGTTACCTACCAATTTGACTTTGAATATTTCTGATATTAGAACCTCCGACTAACAAATAACGGGGGAGAGGAGAGACATCTCTTCTAAAAGCTCATGGGGATGATAGACTGGTGCAAGGGAATGCGATGCCTCTAAGGAAAATTATGTTTTAAAACATATAGCATATTAATCTAAAACATTTGGGATGATTCTAAAACTAGAAGAAGAATGGAACAAAAAAAAATGGCTACTTTAACTGAATCACCCTCATTCATCAGGTTCTTACAGGGTACTGTAGTATTAAAGTCTTGAATATGTGTGTGCATCATTCCTTAAAAGCATTTTCCAAGACAGGCCTTTGGCTTGGAGGGGAGGGTGCTTTAGTGGATAGAACTCTCGACTCCTTCCTTCTCAAACCCTTGAGTTAGGGAGGATTGTGCTACAGATTTTGTGTGAAGCTGCAAAACACATGATAAATTTTACAGAAAGAAAGAACAGCTTTTGTATTAAAACAAGCTTGAATGTATTATGGAGCAGAAGCCAAAGTCTATGGTTTGTTTGTTTTGGTTGGGGTGTGTGTGTGTGTGTGAGCGCGCGCGTGTATGCTGTGGACCACTGAGCCACATCCAGCCCTATTTGTATTTTACTTAGAGACAGCGTCTCAATGAGTTGCTTAGTGCCTTGCCATTGCTGAGTCTGGCTTTGAACTCATGATCCTCCTGCCTCAGCTTCCAGAGCTGCTGAGATTGCAGGCGTTTGCCACATTACCCGGCTGTATGATGTATTATTGACAAATACTTTTTTGAAGCCGGAATTTGCTCCCTAGACACTACCCACAAGTTAGTGTATTCAAAATCTGCACTTGAGATATTTATTTGGAAAATTTTGAGTCTCATAAGTCTAGCCTTATTTCCTTATGAACCATACCTATAATGATTTCTTCAGTTGTGTTGACATTTAATACTGAGAGTTCACATAAAAAGCCGTATTTCTAAATCTGGAGAAAAATGAGATCTGGCAACCAGTTGGCTTCTTTGTTTAGACTACAATGATGACACATTTGCTGCAATTCCTTACCAGTTCCTATTGCATTACCCTTGATTTGATCCACTTATTTCCGTTTCCTGTCTGTATGGTAGAGGCATTTGAATATGTGGTCCTAGTTTTCATAGTGTATGTGTGTGTGTTTGTATATATGTTTTATTTTTCAATGATTACACTTACAAATGTCAGTCTTAACTACATTTTAAAAGGAATAAACTGTAAATTTGTTTGACTTCTTGGTGTGAAAGTTAGCATTTTTAAGTAACAGATTAGGAGACATTCACCTCCCGTGGCTCAGGAGGCTGAAGCAGGAGGATCCAATCGCAAGGTCAAAGCCAGCCTCAGCAATTTAACAAGGCTTTAAGTAACTCAGTGAGACCTTGTCTCTAAATAAATACAAAAAAGGGCTGGAGTTGTGGTTCAAGGGTTAAGCACCCCTGGATTTACTCCCCAGTACCAAAAAAAAAAAAAAAGAGAGAGAGAGAGAGAGAGATTGGAAAGATATTTGACTATTAAACTCAAGAAAAAAATTGTGATTTTTAATTAGTTACTGGTAAAAGACGCTATGTGTATTGTATTTGTAATGAACGAAGTGGGAGGAAATGCTATTACATAGTGTGTTCTACTAGCATTTATTCTGCATTCTAAGTTAAATCAAGACAGAAATAGCCAGAATATAAGACATCCGTAATTGATTTAAAATGTGATCATACTTTTAATAGAATTGTGATTTAACTTCTCCCCAAGATTTTAATTTTTTAGAGGTTTAATAACTTCAGCTGTTTTAGATCCTTCAGAATGGTGGGTATAAGAGATTAGGACAGACCAAAGAATAACTATATTTCTGCTGTTAATTTGGATTTACAACACCTCAGAAGTAGATTAACTCCTGACTAGTCTCTGACCTCACTCCCTGACCTACTGCATTCTAAACCACTGGCAATGGAACTTAAGCCTTTGTGAAGGAGATGATGATAGCATAAGAAAGAAGAAATTAAATTGCTGTGTATGTCTGTATGTATCTCATATTGCTTTCTAAAGTCAAATATAAGAAGTATAAGGCTAAATATCACTTTTGCATAATGATTTTTCTGCTGCTTTCCACTTTGATAGTTCGATAACTTTGCCATACATTTCACCTAGCCAATTTTTAATTTCTATTTTCCTAATAAAAAGATTTAGGATATAATCCCCAAGTCATGAATTACATTATTTTAAAGTATCCAGTGCAGTGATGGTTTTTAATATATTCACAGAATTATGCAACCATCACCAATATCTTATTTCAAAACATTTCCAACACCTCAATAGAAATTCCTCTGTTAGCAGTCACTCCCCCAATTCTCCCTGCCCCTAGCTTCTGGTAACTATTAATGTATTTTTTTTTAATCTATGAATTTGCTTATTCAGTCTCATATAAATGGAACACACAGCCTTTTGAAACTGGCTTTATTCAAGTAACATGTTTTCAAGCTTTGTTCAAGTTTTAGCATATATCAGTATTAAATCCCTTTTTAATTGCAAAATAATAGTCCATTGTATGGATATACCACTGTTTTAATCTTTTCTCAGTTGGTCATGATTTGGTTTGTTTCTGGGTTTTGACTATTACATGATGTTGATAAAAACATTTGTCTACAAGTTTTTGAAGGGACACACATTTTCATTTCTCTTGAATCTCTTGGTTATATGGAAACCATATATAAACTTTTGAGGAACTACCAGATTTTTTTTTTTAGTTACCAGACTTTAAAATTAAAAAAAAAAAAATGTGCCTGCATGATTTATATTCCAACTAATGGCATAAGAGGGTTTCAATTTCTAAATTTTTACCAACACTTAAAATATTGTCCTTTTGAAGATAGCCATCCTAGTGGATATGAAGTGGTACCTCGATGTGGTTTTCTTTTGCAGTGCTGACAATCAGTCCCAGGGCCTTACTAATGCTAGATAAGTGCTATATGAGCTATACCCCCAGCCTATCATTGTGGGTTGGTTTGTTGTTGTTTTTTTTTTTTTTAAATGGAGGTGGGGCCCAGGGATTGAACCAGGGCATTCAACCACTGAGCTACACACATCCCCAGCCCTATTTTGTATTTTATATAGAGACAGGGTCTCATTGAGTTGCTTAGCGCCTTGCTTTTGCTGAGGCTGGCATTGATCCTCCTGTCTCACCTTCCTGAGTGGCTGGGATTATACACGTCAGCTTATCATTGTGGTTTTGATTTACGTATACTGATGATTGATGATCTTCATCATGTTATCTTTGTTCATTGGATATATTTGGAGAATTATATGTTCATATTCTTTGACCATTTACATATCTTTGGAGAAATAACTGTCCAAAACCTTTGCCTGTTTAATTGAGTTACAATTGTGTTATTTATATATTCTATATATACCTATGATTAGCAAATACTTTCTCTGTTCCATGGGTTATTGTATTGTTTTCTTTGTAGTGTCCCTTGAAACGTGAGTTTTAAATTTTGATAAAGTCCAGTTTGGTTGGGTTTTTTTGTTTGTTTTGTTTTGTTTTGTTTTTTTGTTTTGTCACTTGTGCCTTTGGTTCTGTATTCTAATACCAATTCTCTTGACACCTTCTTCTACAGTTCAGTTCAATTCTGATACTAACTACCTGGAATTAGTATCACATTCCACAAGTAAAAAGGCAAAGTCCTTAAAACCTCCCTTGATTGAGATACCAGTTGCAGGTGGATTCCCCAGCTACCCACACTTTTACCCTGCCAACTACAAATTCAAGGTTTCCACAAAACTTTCAAGATTAATTCATTAGAATGACTCATGTAATTTACTCAACAGTGATAGACTTAGGAGTGCAGTTTTATTATAAAGGGTACAACTTTAGAGCCCACAGTGAGTCACTTTGTTAGTATAACAAAGACTCCTACACTCAGGAAATTCCAGGGGTTTTTGAGAGACTACCAGGAACCAAGTACAAAGACCAGATGTTCTGTATTATACCACAGTGTCATATTACTGCTCCATGGCAAAAGGTGCAACTTAACCCAGTGGAGGGGGAGAGATAAAGAATTTCCAGACGCTTCTGCCTTTGTCAATGCTTTATTCACTCAAATCACTCAATACAGTTTCATTCTGTAGGATCTTGTTTGTTTGTGGTGCTGGGGATTGAACCCAGGGCCTTGTGCATGCAAGACAAGCACTCTATCATCTGAGTGATATCCCTGGCCCTCTGTAGGTTCT